TTCCATGACACACATATGGTAAAATTTTCCAAAAAATTCCTAAGATGATATTTATATTGGTGCATGCCAGAATATCGGATAATAAAATGTATCGATAAGGCTATTAAATTTGTAAAAATCAGTCTACGAAAACAGCGAATATTATTTGCACGCAAAGAAACTACTGATGGACACGTGATATGGATAAGGTCTTATAGACGATCTAACAAATTTCTTATTTGACCTATGGACATGGTAAACATGCCGGCGGTGAAGTTATGGCGCGTGAAAGGAATAGAGATGGTGAGTTATCAGCATTAGCCCACTACCATATAGCTCTGGCATATTAAGGTCATACAGAGCTTCAAGCTAGTTACAATCGTAAATAATGTAAAAAATTGGACATAGGATGGAATAGAGGAAAGATGATGCCAGTATGTGGACGGTTCAGACGAAGGAGGTACTTATATATGAAGCAAGTTGGGAGTCTACCGAAATGAGGACTCTACCCCCTTCGCAGAGTTCGATAACGTCTAAAATTGGTGTACTTACTTGGAAAAGCTTCGGACTTAAAGATCTCCGGCTTTCTAAAGACCTAGCCCTTTTATGACTTTTTCGATTTCGTTTGGCTGGAATGGCCGATGAGTTTCTTATGGGTTTCTTGTTAGTTCAATTGGGGCGCCATAGCTTCACCATAAGATTTGGGTGGGCCCTCCACAGAGGATACTTTGTGCTTGTTGGCGAAAGATTCTGGATGTACCTCAGCTGTGCGACTTCTTTCTGTTGGTGAAAAGCATGGTCGAATGATCGGGTTGCTTCCTTAAGGCGTTGCTTTGAAGCTGATGATCTGCTGTTTTGCCAATCACGACGCGTGCGCCTAATTGATGATTGAATTTTTAGTATTTTTTTCGGTATATTTCTTTCCTATGAGAAGTAGAGATGCTGCCGCAACAAGTATTTCCTTCAGGGCGCTCGTAGTGTAGTCGATGTCCTATTCCATGTTAAGCTCCAGGGCGAGTTCTATGTGCACTCCCGTACTGTATTTATTTAAGCCATTTCGTTCTTGGTAGAATGTTTCAGGGGAAACATGGTCCAGTTTAATATTTACATTTATAATTGCATTGTACAATTGCCTTCCTTTGGGAGTGCGTATGTATGACATTGTAGTCTCCTGCGACTATTGAACGATCCCCAAGTGAATTGCAGTAGTCCATAAATTGTCCTTTCGAGATTTAGAAGCAAGGGAGGCAGTAAACGGCAGCAATTGAAAGTCTTTCGTTACTTGACTGAATTTTTATTGATGTGGCCTGCAAGAAGTTTGTTGCAAACCTTTTGTGAAAATGGTGCTAAATGCGATCTCTGATTAGAACACCGGTTTCGCCGTGTACACCTGACTAGCCAGGTGGTAAGTGAAGGTGCAGTGCAACTGCGATCCAAAATCTTAGAGAGCTCGAGAGCATGAAACAAATGATCCAGCGCCACTACGAACAAGAATGTTCGCTGCAGCAAGCAATGCTAGGTCACCGCTACGACCTTGAGCAACTAGTGCATTAGCAGTGAACGGCAAAGAGGCTGAACGCTCGGCGCACTCGGCTATAAAATATGATCTACTGTTATTTACTCCTTCCCACCTGAGCACTCCACAAGACGCAACCTTTGCAGCTTTTCCACCTTACTGATGCGGGGATTGCTGCCAACGATTGTAGAGAAAATCTAGTAGAACTCAGACCATTTTGAGTATCCACAGCTGATGGTAGAGAGAGCCAACTGGTAAAAACTTAGACTTAACCCCGGGTCAGCCTGCAGATCCGTTGGCAAAGGTGGAGTGGGCAGCAATTCGAGCAAAGCGAAGTGTCGTCGCGTGCTTGTCGCTATGAGCTCCGAAACAGGCCAAATCCTCAAGCTTCCCGTAGATGGCCTTGAAGTCACTGAACATGGCGACTATCTAGCAATGGCGCATGTAGAGCATGGCATCATCCACCTTGGAAACAGGCTGAAGAGCTCTTTGGATCCTCTGCATGTCCTGGAGAACTCCCTGGGCATTGCTCTTTAAAATACCACAACGGTTTGGAATAAGTGATCCTGTGAGTGCGGCGCTGGAGTTCATCATTGATTATATATAGTTACGACCAATGTAATCAACCCGGAGTAAATAATTCCAGCGCCAAAATTATATCGCTCAAAATTTATTTTCTTGCGGCGGAAACGATCTTTCCCACTGTGCGCTCACAACCTATGCGGAATTGTGGAACGTATATACACATATAAAAAGTTTGCTTATTAGCCACTGATGTGCTGATATGCTGCGTATGAAATTTTCTTACCAAAAATACTGTTTATGAAATGTTTCTTCTACACCACATATGTTTCCGCGGGTCTAGTTTGAGTTTAGTAATTTGTTTATTATATTAACTAAATCCCGTCGGGGTCACCAATGTGGTCATTGATATTTTTCAATTTGGCCGCATATGAAATAGGGAAATAAACAAAGAACGCCCATTTAGGGTGCAAGCGCAAAAAGATCATGAACGAGAGTACACCCGCTTAAGATGACAGGCTGAGCCGATGCTCGCTAGCTTAAGGGAGGTTCTTTTGGATTTTTTTGAAAAAATCGATTTTTTTTTTTAATAAAATGAAAGTTTCATATGTATAGAATATCAAACATACCCATGATAACAAGAAAGTTATGTATCTCAAGGTAAATTTTCTAAAAACTTTAAACGTGTTTTTCTCGGAACCATGTTTTTCAACCCCTTGTCGCGCACAGGGCTCGTTCTATTTTTTCTATTTCTATTCGTTCTATTCGGCCGATTCTTATGAAATTTGGCATGTATTATTTTGCCAAAAGTAGCACTCATGTAAAATTTGAACTCTCTTACTCTAAAAACATCAAAGTTATACCATTTCCGATCAATCAGTTATATGGCAGCTATAGGATATAGTCGGCCGATCCCGGTTTTCCGACTTATATACTGCGTGCAAAGGAAAGAAGGGTGTGTGCAAAGTTTCAAGACGATAGCTTTAAAACTGAGAGACTAGTTCGCGAAGAAACAGACAGACAGACAGACAGACAGACATGCTCATATCAACTCAGGAGGTGATCCTGATCAAGAATATATACATTTTATAGGGTCGGAGATGTCACCTTCACTGTGTTGCACACTTGTGGACAAAATTATTAATAATTTATTGAGACCTAACAGTTATCTGTTGCCTCACCCGACAGCAGCTATATGATATAGTCGGCCGATTCCGTTCGTTCCGACTTATGAACTGCTTGCAAAGAAAAGAAGGGAAGAGTTTTGTGCAAAGTTTCAAGTCGATAGCCTTAAAACTGTGAGACTAGCTTGCGTAAAAACAGACGGACGGAAAGAAGGGCATGCTCATATCAACTCAGAAGTTGATCCTAATCAAGAATATACATACTTCTTAGGGTCGGAGATGTCAACTTCACTGCTTTGCACACTTCTGACAAAAATTATAAGCTGTATAAATTATAAAAACCGCAAAGAATCAATAGATTTACCACTGGTATCCAAATAGATACTCAGCTTTGTATCTCACTGGAGAAAGCTGGAGAAGCACTCCTTCTCCGACCATATTTATATGGAAATGTGTCTTTTTTTTTAAAGCTTTAAGCAGGAAGGTCCCTGAGAACAAACGGGTCCAAATACAACTCTGTTCTCATGGCGTTTCAATGCTGAGTTTTCAATCAGCTAAAAGCCTAGGCTATCTTAAAAAAGAAAACTTAAACTTTACTCTAAAACTGTAGAAACTAGAGGTCTGCATGAATGGCTTAAAATCGACATTCAAATGCAGACCGTGAAAATAAATTTAGTGAGATAGAATGCGGATAACAAAAATAAATTAATGAGTGAGTGAGTAAAAAATAATAATTTAAGAAAATGAAAAAAACTCACAAGAAAACTAAACCAAAACCACTATAAAAATAATAATAACTGTTAAAACACTAACACTATAATTTACCCTTCGGTAAAATCACTAAATATTCTAATTACTATTGAAAAAGTATAGAATGAAGCATTTTGCTCTACAAAAGAAAACAAACAAATTCATATAGTATGTTAAAAACCATTCGAGTCATTCGGTTGCATTTTGCATTCCAAAAGCATTCCGATTGGCTCCCACTCTAATTCACTCTGTATTAAAGCTAGAGAATGGCCATGAGTGAGAACACTTTCTCATTCCCACTGACTCACTTCGTTGTGCCTCTTGCACTCATTAATTCTATTCCATTTGAATGTATTCTATGGCTGAGGCAATAAGATCCATGAATCCATGCAGACGCCTAGAAGGGTACCTTAAGGATAAAGGCAATATGTGTAAAAAACTATTTATCTATTTAACGTTTTATTTAAACATCGTTTATATGATCTTCCAGATTTTACTGATTATATGTATTTAGCTACTGTTTTATGTATAGTTACCAAACAGTTTTTTTAAGATAGAAAATATAATACATATTATAATATAATATATAATATATACGTATATATGTATATATATAATATATATAAATATATTTCATTTTGTTAGAATTGAAAAAATCTTAATCTTCTTTCTTAAAAAATGAATCGTTGGTCGTGTCAACATTAAAACCAAATTTAAACATGTACATGAATATTATACAGGCTCGTATATAAAAGAAACTAAAAAAAGAGATACATTATCCCTCTTTAAAAATTTGATTTTTATTATACCCGGTACTCGTAGAGTACAAGGGTAAATTGTAGTCGTGTGAATGTATTTAACATTCCGAAGTAATCATTGATATAGCCATGTCCGTCCGTCCGAGACTATAAGAGCTATAGCTATAAGATTTGGGATAGGGACTCCTACAGGACCCACGCAGTGGAAGTTTGTTTCAATTTTACCACGCCACCTCCCGCCGCCACAAATTTGACCTGTATAGCTAAAAGATAGGCTCCGCCCGAAGTTAGCTTTCCTTTCTTAACATTTAAATTCCTTGAATAAAAAATTGTATCATTGTTTATGCTTACCTGTTGCTGATTACACGTGTCAGTATTATTTGATGGTAGCTTTTGTGAAATTGTTGCATGACTTAAGTGTTTGCTTAACTCAATACTTTGGTGTGTAGGCAAATCTCCTCCACCGTCATTATCATTCGCACAATTGCTATACATTTCTTGGATAATTTTTGTACAGTATGTCTAATAATCGTTTTGAATGCAGATTTTAGTTTTTTAATTCACACAACCAGGATGAATCTAAGTTTGCGAACTATTGGAATATAAGCATCCAAACAAGCCAATGGATTGTGTTCAACTAAGCACTGAAATGAAATTTTTGATCAAACTTTCATGGTGCTGCGTCAATTTACGCGTACATGGGGTACATAATAACTTTGTGCATGGCAGTTTTTACATAGACTTTAATTTAATAATGATTTCAGAATTGGGTTCTGCCCCGGAAATGGTAAGTACAGTGAAAATATGGGCACAATCCTAATTCTAAATACACAACCATTGTATGCATTGACATGTGATCCATTTAAGATTTGATGTACGTGTTTCTATAAAGTAATTCCGAGTAATTTAGATACCTTTATAGTGCATATAAAAACCGAAATAATAGGCAAACTTTTTTTTTTTAACATAATAAATCTATAATATAAATATTAATGTTTATTTTTAGTTTATTTTAAATTTAATTTGAAATTAAGAAGAAAACACATATTATTTTAATGTGACGAAACATATATGTATATCATATATGTATATATGTATACCATTCTAGATGTAAATATGTACCAAATACCAATATGTAACTACATTGTTTGAAAGAAGATGCTTGAAACTATGGGGCCAACGACCACTTTTTGTGGCCAAAATCACTTTTCAAAGGTCCTTAAAATAAGGATGTAATGACATCATTACTTTCGAATAATAGGCTGCGATGGCTAATATCTCAATAGTTAACCGACTAACCCACTGTTAAGATATAATCATTAAATCTGAATGTTATTACCAGAACATAACACTTGGTGTGTGGTATCTGTGCTTTAAATTTAAACTATTTCATATACAGTCTAATTGTTGGAACTTTTAGAAAGTTTTTGTGTATGTCTATTGAAGGAATTGATTGGATCATTCCAGTTATTTGGTGTAAATTTGGGTACCTCTTTCACCTAGTTTTGTCCTCTAGCATTTTTCTGAGGCGACCTTGAATCTCTGTGTTTTTCAACATAACATTCTTATTGAAAAGCTTGTATGGTTTTATCGGATCTGGAAAAAATGTTGATGACATGTTATATATGCGAATATGAATCAGAGAACTGCAACGAATATAAAATTTTTCCTCATACGCGAGTACTGACTCAGTACTTTGTTTGATTTATTCCGTTTCCTTCGGGTATAAATATTGTACTTTTCGTAAGCTCAAATGAGCTGACGTTGGAAGTACTTGAGTTAAATCAAACTCGTTGTGTCAATTGGCTTGAATTGATTTGATTGCCATTTGGGCATGAGGGTTCGATCATACTTAATCATACTCGTTGCGGTTCTCTGATATAAATATGAAAAAGATTTGATCAACATTTAAGGGCTTTACAATTTTGGTAGATATTTAATTTTCTTACTTTATGGGGCTTTTTTTATAAAAGTTTTTTTATTTTGATTTTTATACCAAATTTCATAAGGATTGGCCAACTATATTCTACAGCTGCCATATAACTGAACAATCGGATATAACGCAACTTTCGTGTTTTTAAAGAAAGAAAGTTGGAACTTCGAAAAGATTTTATTTTTGGTCAGTTGTGGGATCAACTTCCACCTAACGATATAAATGCTTTTAAGTCTAGTATTTCTATCTTTGGTGTGCCAAATCGCAAATTTGCCGATAAAGGCAGAAGTTTTGCAAGCGTTAAGTTCAGGGATTTTTGTTCGAAAAATAAAATTGACTTGCATTTAATAGCGACAGCAGCAAGCCGTGACAATGGGCAGGTAAAACGTGTCATGAGTACGCTGAAGGTCATGTTAATAGCAGTATACATTAGCAAACGTTCATGGCAAGATGCAATAAAAGAAGTTCAGTTGGCCATGAATTGAATTAAACAAAATAAAGCGCTTTCCAGGCAGTTTGTGGATAGTTTTGTAAAGCGTGTGCGTGAGACTGGATCGTTGATGGATAAAACAACACATTTACGTCCTCGTCCAGTTGGGTCGGTCGAAAATATTGCTGCGGTGGCTGAAAGTGTCAATGACAATCCGTCGACGTCAACTCGGCACTGTGCTCAAGAGTTGGGCATTTCGCTCACATACCTGCAACGGATTTTAGCCAAAGATCTTCGTCTAAGGCCATAGAAGATTCAGTTAGCTTAGCAGCTTAAGCCGCATCACCATCTAATGCGTTTTCGCTTCGGAGTTAATGGTTTACGCGGTTTCGTTTAATCGTTAATGGTGTCCGCTATCGCGGCAGACATAGGCGACATATGGCTTCAGTAGGACACGCTACGTGCCACACAGCCAAGGTCACAATCAACCTTTTGCGCTGTAAGTAAACAACTTTAAGGGGTTCTATAACTTCTTTGTCGAAGAAAAAGAGGAAAGTTCGGATTTTTTTTTTAGGTATGTAGCAAATATTTAATTACACGGATGTTTTAATTTTTTGATAGTACACATTATTAACAATGTTTGTGCAAAATTTGGTGGAAAAATATTAAATAGTTTTTAAGGGGTGGCTGTTTTCTTTAGAGGCTTTTTTTTTTAGAGCCTTGCTGTGACAGTTCCCCAGGTCAAACAGGTGAACTTAAACCATAAAAGTAAAAAAATTCATTAGTTTAGTGTAATTCCTTGTGCTTGAACGATCGGTTTTAAAATGTTTTGTTTTTTTTATGCATACGGGAACGTTTTATGCTAAAAATTAACTTTTTGGTCTCTAGAAACTTTACTAAAAAATTCATTTCGGCGAAAAAAAAGTTTGTGCGTAAAAAGTCGATCGTTCAAGCACAGAAGAATTTCATTACGAACATTTAAAAAAAAACTTGAATTAAATCTGTTCAGTAGTTTTCCGCCAATCCATGTCACCGCAAAGTCATTTTTCAAGAAACACCATTTCGAGATATTCGCGTTTAAAGTTTCAAGTTCAGTTCAAGGCGGCGACAAGGCGCGCGGTTAGGAGCGCTGTAACTTTTGTTCTACTGCTCCAATCTCTATGAAAATTTGGGAAAATGTTCTGAAGAAGTTATTATTAAAGATAAAGCAATAAAAAAAAATTCGATTTTTTGAAAATAAAAAAGGTATATAACCCTTAACGCGGCAAAATTTTGAAAAAAAAATTGAACTGCGTGGACATTGTAGGAGTCTCCATGCCAAATTCCATAGCTCTATCTTGTGTAGTCTCTGACAGTCTCGGACGTTACAGAATTATGCGATTCCTGGGACCAGGAGGTGATGTGTAGTATGGAAGTCTCCATGGCAAATCCTATAGCTCTATCTCATTTAGTTTCTGAGATCCACGTCCATACGGACAGATGGACGTACTCGGCTAATTCTATGCGATTAGGTGAAATATATAGTGAAATATTCGCTCCATCTCACAACTGTAAACCTACAGCAACATAGTCTACAATCATACTTATGAGTACGATTGGTAGGAGTTCAACTTAGTAAGTTGAACTTTAAATTTTGTTCGATGCACAGTGGAACGATGTATAATATTTTAAATGAAAAAGCAAACAAGGACAGTACCGTGAAGAAATGTGGGAACTGCGGAGGCTGCTATACGGCAAACTATAGAGGATGTGTGGTGTACAAGGAGTTGATGAGTCGCATGCGTCAAGCGACCGCAACGTGCAATCAAAATCCACAAAATGTGTACATTGCGTCAAAAACTACGCCAGACATCTTCTTCGCCAAAGCTGTGAGGTCCTCATTTGGTCCTCTAAACACCACCAACGGCTTCTTCTAACCGATTCTCTACGATCTGGAATAGAAAATCCAATTCAGCTTGTTTCACAAAGCGCTCAACAGGCCCCAGAACAGCCACATAGCAAAACGGAAACTATGGTGCTTACCAACCAACAAAGTATGATGGAGCTTATGTCATTTATGAAAACGACTATTCAAACTCTTGTTCAAAACCAGAACATGGTAATACATCTTCTCGTAGCACAACAGTCCATAGTGCATAGAATATTGCATTATCTATGCAAAATCTACGAATATCAATGTTGATGGTGTCTCACGGCATAAACTAGAATTGTCATAATTCTTAAATTTAAACCATATTTATTTTATGCTACTGGTGGAACCGCATCTTACAAGCAAATACAACTTTCAAATAAGAGGCTATTCAATGTACCGCACAGATCATACAGATTGAAGCCCACGGCGGAACCGGAGTTCCAATGTGCAGAGAATGTATCAAACACCATTTTCACAAAAGGCTTGAAACAAATCTCCTTTAGAAACAAGTTTCCTGAGCAAACTGAATCCAACAACGGCGAATATAATTTCTTTAACATTTCAAATTTGACCGAGCTAGCATTTGTATTGAAAAATCTATTGCAGGTTGTTTTATATTTTAGTAAGAGTCAGTTTTTAGTATTTTTTAAGTTTGTGAGGCACCATGCAAACCAAGGAGGATTTGTTGAAGCGGTTGGAGATTTTCATGGCACACATGAGTGCAAAATTTATTTAAAGTATTGCCATATTTTTCTAATGTTATATTTACATCGGAGCCAGAATATCGGACCAATCAAATGTATCGATAAGGCTATTCAGTTTGTGAAAAATCATCTTTACGGAAGCAGCGAATCATATTTGCCACGCATGGAAACTTCTGATCGATGCCAGGAATAGATTCAAGTGATGCCTCAAGCCTAGGGAATTGATGCCTAATTTTAACCTAGGGAAATTTAAAACATGCCCGCGGTGAAGTCATGGTGAGTTATCGACTTTAGACAACTTTAATTCTGGGATATTAAAGTCACTGAGAGCTACAAGCAGGTTACGATCGGTCATAAGATTAAAAACGGACTAATGAATAGCGGAGAAATAATACCAGTATTTGGGTGGTTCAGTCGAAAGCGATATATACAGGGTGACAATAAATAACCCTTAAATAAATGCATTTATCAATAGCTTGTACTTTTCTAAAACAAATATATTTACATTTTTGTGATTCCCATCAATTTGATATTTCTTTCGGGATGTCTAACAATCGTTGTGAAATTTTAAAACTGTTTCAACAAGGAAATCGCCAATGCGACATTGTTCGTTTCCTTGGCATACCAAAACAAACGGTCTCTGACGCTATCCG